GTCTCGTTTTTATACCAGACGCCTTTAACGTCCTAGACGTTAAAGGACAACTTAAACGTCTCTAGCACAAAAACGCGAATCATAAGTAACGCACGATCAGAAAAACCGGAAAAACGTCATGCATTAAAATGTAGACTGCACACGTCACCTGACCTTGTTTATACGAACAGCCCATAGAAGAAAGCGTATTTCGAATCTACATGTTTGAAGTCTAATCATGTCCTCCGTCGTTACAGCTGTCCTTAAAGCCACTATTGGTTTGCTCGCGAGTAAAGGGAGAGACGTGGCAGCACGAAAGCTGAAGGAAGGGGACGTGACGGATCAGAAATTCCGTGGTTTAATCGTACGCGAAATCGACGACATTAAGTCGAAGTTAGAAGGGATAACAAGGAAGGAGCTGTTGGCCAGCATTAGCTTTTTCAAAGAAGGAATCGAGTTCTTGTATGAAGTGTTTGATAAAGTACGGTTCCGAAATGAGGTCAGTCCCTTAACATCACGAGCGGGGCAATCTACTTCGACCGAAGCATCATCTCTCTCTAAACGAATGAGAAGGTTGGAGCTCGCTGATTTGAACGAATCGGCTTCGAGGGCGCTTGCTAACGCTAAAGAAAGATTCAAAGATGCTCGTAGGGAGGCAACAAAGGCCTTTGCAAATGAAGCTTTGGAATTATCTGATCGCGTACTAGCTATGCAATATCGAGTTATGGCGATAATACTAGAAACAGTAGACAATCCTGACGATGCTCTGCCGGCTTGTCGAGTATGCATTGAAGAACTGCATAACCTATCAGCTGTCAAAGAGTGTTTTAAGGTTGAGTTTGAGAAAGGATTGAAAGCTCGTTTGGGAAAAGATGATCGCAGGGCAATTATTTCCACTGTTTGTCACGTAAATCGCGTCATTTATGATGTCACGCTTATGGTCTGTTTTGGGAACAGAGCACTAGAGACAAATTGCCCTTTTGTTGACATTGGACAAAAGAACATCGATCCGCTTCGTGACACAAGGATTGCTAAAGTGCTGCAGAAGCAAGGCATGGGACATTGCTGTGTACCATGGGTATTTGGTCAGGAGGGTGAAGAGGAATACAAGTTGAAACATCCGCGGGGGATCGCTGCAAATACCGAAGGGCATCTCCTTGTGGGAGACGAAGGTGATGCTTCTATTAAGGTGTTCGATAGCAACAGGAATTTTCTTCTTAGTTTTAATCCCAAAGCAGATGACACCGTTACAAAGCTAGATATCCTTGACGTCGCAACTGATGTAGACAGCAATACCTATGTTCTGGTGGGGCTAAAGAAGCCTAAGGGAGAGGCCGGGTATGAGCGGGAAGTCCATGTGTTCAACAAAGCTGCTGAACCGCAAAGCAAGTTTGCCGTGAGCGCAGGAATCTGGGGCTGGAACAGACTGACAGTTAACAATGACAAATTGCTAGTACTGAAAAGTACTGGAGATGCGGTTGACATGTACAATCAGGATGGAGGATTTGTCTGCAGCTTTGGGGAGGGAATCTTGAAGAAAGCAACTGATATCACTGCTTCCAACGATGGCCGTATTATGATAGTGGACAAAGGTGAAGCGTGTGTTCACTTATTCACGGAGGCGGGGGAGCCTACGGCGAAGTTTAACATCAGCAGCGAAGCGGATCTACACTGCAGGATCGCTTTCCACCCGGCTGGAGAACATGTTGTGGTTGCTATCAAAGAAAAAGATAGACTTGACGTAAGTTTGGCGGTGTACAATAAAGATGGCGAGTTTGTTCGCAGTATCAAATTAGAAGATAGAGAGATTATGTTAGAAGGTGTCACTGTGACAATGGAAGGTCATATTGCTGTGGCTGTTGCAAATCTGTATCGCAACGGAAACGTCTTCATAGTATAGATTTAACGCATGATCATGGAACTTTGTCAGCCGAGTTCCAATCTTCGTGTAGAACAAAATAGAATATCATATCTATAATTTTTCCGCGTATGTCATAGATAACCAACCCTTGTGGGGTATTAACGACATTAGCAGCCTCAACAGTAGATTTCGAAGTTGTAGCCCTTGGCCTATTAGAACTCAGGGGCACAGTCCCAGTACGGGTCGAAATCACGGTTAACAGAGCAACGCCTGCAACTTCGTGGTCACTGAAGCGGTAAAGAATATCTTTTAGACCTTTTTCGCATGTAATGTCCGCTTGGTAATGTCGATTCAATGTATGCCATATGAATTTTAATTGGTATATTTTTTCTGTTTCTCAGTGAGCCAAGAATCATAAAGCCTTGGCAGACCTTTCCCATTTTTTTTTATTATCATTATTGTTTTTTTACATTTTACCGCTGCATAATATTTTAGACCCTGTCTCCAGAGCTTTTCAAATTATATTACAGAAATGAGAATTTTCCTTTGAAAGAGATTCAGGAATGCAACAAAATTGGGATGAAAAGAAACTTGCGATGATGATGATGGCGTCAAATTAATAATTATTGACTCGCTAGATAATGACAGGATCTAAACCTTAGTCTAGTGTTAGTTGGATTGAAACGTCCTATTTTTTCGGCATGTAACGAGCTCTTATAGGCCCATCCGTCCTGATCTCCGAGATCAGTCCTGTTATTGAGTCATAAATGTTGACGTTTTCTTACGAAGACTGAGACTGCAACAGAACTGTGGAGTAGTATGAAGTCTGTGATCAATGACGAGCTCGCTGTTGCGTGTAAGTGGTTTGATGACAATAAGCTTGAACTCAATCCCACTAAATGTAAAGCCCTAGTCCTATCGAACAAACACTCTCTTAATTTGACATTCACTATCAATGATATTCAAATTCCATGTGTTGATCACCTTGAGCTTTTGGGTGTTGTTATTGATAACTCTCTACTAAAAAAATTAGAATTTATTTCACTTAGGATATACGATATCAAGCCTACTTTTATCAAGGTTTGATTTTAACAGTCGATAAGTGGGTTAGAACTACATGGAGCTGTTACCAGCAAGGCAGCTAAAAGCAGTGCAGTCTGTAAGAGTAGCTAACGGTAAACGGCAGATTGGTGTTGATTCTGGATAATTTTTCTGACTTATTCATGTGACGTCGTCATTTTCCAAAAATCGAAAACTAAAGAGCCACCAAAGTTTTTATTCCCATTAGGCATAAGAGGGAGTAAATTTATATCTGTCTACAATGTTAAAGCTCAATAGCGTGCTTCGTTTGAAAACCAGCGTATTTTGAATTTCAGAGTTACGGCGGTGCGTGACACACAAAGCTACAATCGCATTCGTCGAAAAATATATACCTATCTCATGATTTTTAGCTTTTTCTTAGAAGTTAGATCATTAGGAAAAGTGCTTATGCAAATGTTTGTTTTTTCAGTACAGATAATTAGTCGCCTAGATAGCCAAAGTAAGTTCCAGATGTTTACAATATTTTCCGGCCGCTATATTGGTGCACCACAGAGGTGCACCAACATGGCGTTTCCATCATGATACTGGGCTCTGTAAATTTCTACGAAACATTTCGACAAATATCTGCAGTCTGGGAAAACGTACAAACCTAAAACTTGGAGAAATTGCTTCTCTATCTATTTCCTATAAGATCACAATTTCTTGACTTTATCCACTGAATCTTTTTCAATTTATTTTTTTATTGCGTGGCAGTGAAAACGATCTGTACTAAGACCTAATTAAATTATAACATCGTCACGCGATAGATGGTCTTATTCTGTTGCCAGCAATAATCGTAGTTTTTTCGGTTTTGATATTCCACGAAACCACTTCAAATTGATATCGATTTCAAAAGCCATGTAAACGAGAAAACATGATTGAAGGTAAAGAGCGTTACATATGTAAAGAGCATAACCTATGTTGGTACCTTGTTATCGATTATTGTCCCTTTTTAAACGATTTCTTATTCAAGTGTTGGGAAGCCTGTGCCTCATATAGGGAGGAAAATAATTCGCCCTGTCCGCTAGTTTCCGAAAGCTCTTACATAATGTAAGTTTCAGCCGAATCAGCGTTTGAAATTCCTATCTTTATTTATTGCTCGTATATTTTCCATTTAGCGAGTCGTGGGAAGGTTTAGAAGTGTATGTGGATCTGACCTGTTTTTGTGAATGAATTGTGGATTTGCGACTACAACCTACCCAAAATAAAGTTATAATCTTTGTAATCAGTCTTTTAATAATACGTAAGACACTTTATTGCAACAGTAACAAAACGGATCAGAGCATCAACAATTGCAATCTTAAGCACGACGATATTTTTGTGGCGCAGCGATTTCAGGATTCGAGCTTCCTTTAAGAATAAACGTGTTTCGCGCTCGACTCTCCATCCCTTCTTTTCGCAATAAACACACACCCAAAACTTCCTCTGCCGATCTCCTCCTTGTCAGTAAATGGCTCCACGAAAACTGAGGGAAATCATTAAACGCTGAACTTCTCTTCGTACGCTCAAATAATCCAAACGATGGCAACCTGAACGCCATGCTGCCTTGACTTGGCAGTGCGCGCAAGTTTCCCGCCAAAAGTGAAACATGTGACCGAAAATTGAAAGCGTCACGCATTCGCCCTCAACAGGAAAGGATTACTGCCCTCAATCTCATGCCATTTTCCTTTTTACAGTCGAAAACTTCGATGATGGGATGAGATGGAAAGACAGTTTTCTTTAGACATCCAGCGGTGTAAGAATGATTTTTATAACTTTTTTTTTATTGAATTATATATTGTGTAGGTTAATTGTTTTACAGTTTCTTTAATCGTTTGGTTTGGTTTGGTTTCGCAAACTACAGTAAGCCCAGTGTAACAATCTTGATGTTTCTAAATCTTCAAATCAAGTCTTTTGCTGGCAATTATAAGCCCTGACGAAGCGAGAGCGAAACATCCGCTTACGCCGCCTAATGGAATTGTAGCAGGTAGGCAGACTACAGACAGCCGAGCCTAAACTCGCGCTAGAAAACGCCGCTGAAAGAACGCTAGAGCCAGCAGCGCTCCAGTTAACAAACATTTTCGCTCGTTTATACTTTTTGGCAACCACTCGATAGTGGGAGACCTCGTTGTTCAGAACGGTTGAAATATCTCTCTCTCTCTTTCTTATGACCTCTTTCCATTTAGGGTAGAGGTCAAATGCTTCAAGACGCTCTCTCCTGTTTAGTTCAGCCAACTGATTTGTTAGCGCATTCAATCTCCTCCTTTTTCCTTCACCCGCCGCGTCCCCATCTCGTTCAGCCGCCGCATCCCCCCTTCCTCCCATAACCTCAGCTCGTCCAAAATTTTCCGGATTGCTGCGCTGATCCACTGCGCTTCCATTCTTTTGGTTATAACAGATAGCTGCAATTGCTCAAATGGAATTTATGCGCCGCGATGAGTCCACGGTAGTATGTCTGGCGGCATACTTCGCCGGTGAGGGGAGCCGAGACCGAGCCGAGCCGGCGAATTAAGTTGTCTACCCTAGGGTGTCGATATTTGTTTGCCGCCAGACATACTACTTGTGGCTTTTCAGCTTACAGAATAGTGAGATTATAGTATATATCTCATTTCCCTGTAGAATGCAAGATCGTTTGAGTGAACTGGCTACCTTGAGAATATGTTTGGGTAATTTTAACCATCATTCTCGGACGTTTACTTTCCCTTGTAATAGAATTATTTGGATCAAATAACTGACTTTTTGGTGTGATGGCCACCTGTCGTTTTGAATAGTTTAAAGAAAAAAATGCGCACGTTACTTTAAAATGATTTTCCAGTGAAGAGATTTTTTTTCTCTGAGATTTATCTGCCCACTCTCCCAGTTAAAGGAAAAGTTTCTCACTGCAATCTTTCTTCCGTATTTTCGGAAAGCCGACTTCATAATGGGTAAAATAGGTCACGACATCTGTCAGGAGCCATAATCGTGACATGCTATGTCGTAAAGAAATCCTCCGGCAAGGTCGTATTCATACAATTTTGCGTTGCTCTTGATATGTGCATTGTTTGTAATAGAAAGGAAACAGCAATTTAAGCAATGGGTTATGGCTGACAGCAACCAAAATTATGCACCCATATTGACAACTGTGACAGTTTGAGATACGCGCGAGTTGAGATATGAATGCTTCTCACAAGGCTTGAAGTTGTATCAGAGTTTGCCTACATTCATTCAAGAACGGACACAAGATCCAGTACTAAAAATCACGGTATTGCGTTTCCAAGTTTGCTTTTCTCTTGTATGGTGCTTATCAATGAAAAACAACTTTGTATAATCAAAGGACGTTTCTACCTCCGTTTCTTCCGAGAAATAAACCTGCCCGCTGCGCATGAGCGAATGCTATCCTGGCGAAACCGAAGTGTGTATTTTAGCGACGACATTCGGTTGATAGACTGAAAAGCACTCTTGTGAATATCAAGCAACTATGGTGACATTGCAAAGAAGTGGTCAAAGTGCTTTCACCATCGAAAAGGTTTCAAGGGAACCTGCTTTCAGCCATGTTCAGATTAAAGGTTCCGATCCAAGTGGCTCGGAATCCGACGAGGAGACATCATTCACTAAAGGAGACAACAAGAAATGTTTTATCTTCGAAGAGGATCACCACAGGCTGGTTTCAAGGATAACGCAAGAGGAGCAAGGAAATCTCTTTGGGTTGTGGACAACCAACGACGAACCTGTTATTCACATTGTCTGTCCACCGATCTGTGCTATCAAGCCTCACTCGCACACAGTCACCGAAGACGACATCTTAAGCAAGCATTTACCTCTCTCACACATCGGTAACTGGAGATATAATGGGTTTCCATTTCTGAACCGTTGTTCTCATCAGTTTAAACCAAGAGCCACATTTCTGGATCTAACGGTCTCCAAGTCCAAGCTCTCAGTGTTTGAAGATGGTAAAAGGAGGCAAATTGAGGTTATCAACGGCAGAAGCCCGTTTACGAACGTGACAGGTTTCAAAACAATCGCCATTAAAGGTCAACAAGATGTCGATCCTGATCTCGCGCAGGGTATGGAGCACCTTTTAAGCACAAAAGCAATCTCTAATAAAAGAAAGGAACTTTTCACTTCTCCAAATTTTCAAGATCCGATTACAACAAGCAGTGCCAGCCAGGAAATCCCAATGTACCTAGGAGCGAAAGGATTTCAGCGTGAATTCGCACCTAACCTTCAGGACTTCAAGATCTTCATGTTTGAAGAAGACTATCAAATGATGCAAAACCTTGTTCTCAGGTACCCCCATCTGGAGACTGGAGGAGACCTGTTCGGTTTGTGGACCACTGAGGGAGACGCGGTACTCCATGTAGTGCTTGGTCCAGGCCAAAACTGCAAGCGAACTGGATTCTCCTTCTACCAAGATGTCCCTTATCTCAAGGAAAATGGTGAACTGCTTACTCAAGACTACATGTTATGCCACATTGGAGAATGGCATTCCCACCACCAGTTGCGCCTCTTTCAGCCAAGCGGAGGCGATTCGTTAACTGTTATCAGAAACTATCCTCGTGGAGTCTGCGGTTTTCTTTTGATTATTGCTAACATTCTGTCCTCTCACGAAGTGCGGCTGTCTCCTTATCTTTACACGAAGTCGTCCAGCTATGGTTTTGATAAAGCAGGCAGAATTGTTCGGCTCACGGGCCCCAATGCATTTAAGAGGATTCATAAAATCAGAGAAAAAGCAGAGAGAGGGAAAGAAAGGGATACATATATTCAAGGTGGCCAGTTCAACCGTAATTCAGAGTATGCGGCGGACTTCAGTGAATTCAGGGGTTATCCAATTCAAACTGTTACAAATCAAATTAAGCGCCTTCCCAGTGATCGCAGAAGGCACACACACCACTACGTGACTTCCAAACCATATGAGCTGCCAAAGCGTAAGGCCATGTTCTCCTCTCCATATGAACATTATTCCGTATCGGTGCCCCGCTCACGTGGTATTTCAGCAGGAAGAAATCGGCGCAAAAGCGCAAAGTCAGGCACCAGAATGGATCGACCTCCGTGGAAGTCGTAACTTTGTAAAGCGTACACGTAACCCAAAGGCGCCAGCTTTAAACTTAATAGTCACCTCATGATACTGATGATTATTAGCTGTGAATCGCGTTTAATGGATTTCTAAGTATATGAACACCACTTCAGTTTTTTTTTTACTTATATACGGTGCCGTTTACATGTTATTACATATCAGGCCTTAAGAGTTACCAAATGGTAGATAGTTCACTGTTAGTGCTCTTACATTCATTAACATGGTGCATTTCGCTTCTTATTTTATTTTCCTTTCGTGTATTAAAGTTACTTTGAATTGGACTTTTAAGTTCACAGTCTTTCCTAAACAACTGTACGAATTACTAAGTCTACATAGATGACTCGTTGTTTTCATAGTATGACGGTGTATTATATTGGTCTATATTGTAAAATATTTCACATTTTTGCTGTGTCTACTTTGTCCTGTACTCTCGTGGTGATATTGTGAGAAAAGTATTAATTAATTAGAATGGAGTGAGTGAGTGAGTGAGTGAGCGCCATCCGACTGTCCTCTAAGCTCATGGATGTTACATAACATCCATGAGCAAAAAGGAACATTGCTACCGAAAACAATAAGTGCAACACTGGACCATTGATGTCATTGCAAACGACATTACGAGATGTTAGTTCTCAGACCTTTCAGTTTGTATGTGTTTTATCGGGGCGCTTAGGCAATGTTCTTGCAGATAAACAAATATTTCCGCTGAAAACACCGAGTCTGCCTTTATTTATTACAGACAAAATAGATATCATGTCACAATATTGATTGGGCCACTTGAAAGGACTCAGAAAGAGATTATTGAAGTGACACGAATGTAAGAAAGTTCCAAGAAAACCGGACATGGCTGTCAACAGTCAACAATTATGGTGGATTTATAACAAAAATGTCTATCTCAAATATAGGTAATCAATTGACTAGATTAAAAATGAGTGTTAAGCGAATTTCTTTGAAAGAAATTGTTACAGATAGCGTGACCTCTTGCACTTGAAGGAGTTACAGAGAGAAATAGCACAACATGACGGGTGATTCGCTTCGCGTACAAGTATTTTCTCGACATATTTAGGTTTCTGGGAAAACGTAGTTGATGTTTATGAAAGGATTGAACACAAAAGTATTTATCCCTCCAAATCCCAGTGAGTTTTACAACATTAAGAAACTTCATTTTACAGAATCTCGATTTTCTTAAATCGGCAATCACGCTTTCCAGTCGCACTGTCAGGCGGACTGATTTCTACGGATAAAATAACTGAAAAGTATTAATAGTATGCAAACATGACCTGGGTACTCGAAAATAGAGTCACGACAACATTTCTGAGAAAAGCCGGAACATTTAAATGTCCCAATCGAAAACGATTTNCTTCTCTATCTATTTCCTATAAGATCACAATTTCTTGACTTTATCCACTGAATCTTTTTCAATTTATTTTTTTATTGCGTGGCAGTGAAAACGATCTGTACTAAGACCTAATTAAATTATAACATCGTCACGCGATAGATGGTCTTATTCTGTTGCCAGCAATAATCGTAGTTTTTTCGGTTTTGATATTCCACGAAACCACTTCAAATTGATATCGATTTCAAAAGCCATGTAAACGAGAAAACATGATTGAAGGTAAAGAGCGTTACATATGTAAAGAGCATAACCTATGTTGTTACCTTGTTATCGATTATTGTCCCTTTTTAAACGATTTCTTATTCAAGTGTTGGGAAGCCTGTGCCTCATATAGGGAGGAAAATAATTCGCCCTGTCCGCTAGTTTCCGAAAGCTCTTACATAATGTAAGTTTCAGCCGAATCAGCGTTTGAAATTCCTATCTTTATTTATTGCTCGTATATTTTCCATTTAGCGAGTCGTGGGAAGGTTTAGAAGTGTATGTGGATCTGACCTGTTTTTGTGAATGAATTGTGGATTTGCGACTACAACCTACCCAAAATAAAGTTATAATCTTTGTAATCAGTCTTTTAATAATACGTAAGACACTTTATTGCAACAGTAACAAAACGGATCAGAGCATCAACAATTGCAATCTTAAGCACGACGATATTTTTGTGGCGCAGCGATTTCAGGATTCGAGCTTCCTTTAAGAATAAACGTGTTTCGCGCTCGACTCTCCATCCCTTCTTTTCGCAATAAACACACACCCAAAACTTCCTCTGCCGATCTCCTCCTTGTCAGTAAATGGCTCCACGAAAACTGAGGGAAATCATTAAACGCTGAACTTCTCTTCGTACGCTCAAATAATCCAAACGATGGCAACCTGAACGCCATGCTGCCTTGACTTGGCAGTGCGCGCAAGTTTCCCGCCAAAAGTGAAACATGTGACCGAAAATTGAAAGCGTCACGCATTCGCCCTCAACAGGAAAGGATTACTGCCCTCAATCTCATGCCATTTTCCTTTTTACAGTCGAAAACTTCGATGATGGGATGAGATGGAAAGACAGTTTTCTTTAGACATCCAGCGGTGTAAGAATGATTTTTATAACTTTTTTTTTATTGAATTATATATTGTGTAGGTTAATTGTTTTACAGTTTCTTTAATCGTTTGGTTTGGTTTGGTTTCGCAAACTACAGTAAGCCCAGTGTAACAATCTTGATGTTTCTAAATCTTCAAATCAAGTCTTTTGCTGGCAATTATAAGCCCTGACGAAGCGAGAGCGAAACATCCGCTTACGCCGCCTAATGGAATTGTAGCAGGTAGGCAGACTACAGACAGCCGAGCCTAAACTCGCGCTAGAAAACGCCGCTGAAAGAACGCTAGAGCCAGCAGCGCTCCAGTTAACAAACATTTTCGCTCGTTTATACTTTTTGGCAACCACTCGATAGTGGGAGACCTCGTTGTTCAGAACGGTTGAAATATCTCTCTCTCTCTTTCTTATGACCTCTTTCCATTTAGGGTAGAGGTCAAATGCTTCAAGACGCTCTCTCCTGTTTAGTTCAGCCAACTGATTTGTTAGCGCATTCAATCTCCTCCTTTTTCCTTCACCCGCCGCGTCCCCATCTCGTTCAGCCGCCGCATCCCCCCTTCCTCCCATAACCTCAGCTCGTCCAAAATTTTCCGGATTGCTGCGCTGATCCACTGCGCTTCCATTCTTTTGGTTATAACAGATAGCTGCAATTGCTCAAATGGAATTTATGCGCCGCGATGAGTCCACGGTAGTATGTCTGGCGGCATACTTCGCCGGTGAGGGGAGCCGAGACCGAGCCGAGCCGGCGAATTAAGTTGTCTACCCTAGGGTGTCGATATTTGTTTGCCGCCAGACATACTACTTGTGGCTTTTCAGCTTACAGAATAGTGAGATTATAGTATATATCTCATTTCCCTGTAGAATGCAAGATCGTTTGAGTGAACTGGCTACCTTGAGAATATGTTTGGGTAATTTTAACCATCATTCTCGGACGTTTACTTTCCCTTGTAATAGAATTATTTGGATCAAATAACTGACTTTTTGGTGTGATGGCCACCTGTCGTTTTGAATAGTTTAAAGAAAAAAATGCGCACGTTACTTTAAAATGATTTTCCAGTGAAGAGATTTTTTTTCTCTGAGATTTATCTGCCCACTCTCCCAGTTAAAGGAAAAGTTTCTCACTGCAATCTTTCTTCCGTATTTTCGGAAAGCCGACTTCATAATGGGTAAAATAGGTCACGACATCTGTCAGGAGCCATAATCGTGACATGCTATGTCGTAAAGAAATCCTCCGGCAAGGTCGTATTCATACAATTTTGCGTTGCTCTTGATATGTGCATTGTTTGTAATAGAAAGGAAACAGCAATTTAAGCAATGGGTTATGGCTGACAGCAACCAAAATTATGCACCCATATTGACAACTGTGACAGTTTGAGATACGCGCGAGTTGAGATATGAATGCTTCTCACAAGGCTTGAAGTTGTATCAGAGTTTGCCTACATTCATTCAAGAACGGACACAAGATCCAGTACTAAAAATCACGGTATTGCGTTTCCAAGTTTGCTTTTCTCTTGTATGGTGCTTATCAATGAAAAACAACTTTGTATAATCAAAGGACGTTTCTACCTCCGTTTCTTCCGAGAAATAAACCTGCCCGCTGCGCATGAGCGAATGCTATCCTGGCGAAACCGAAGTGTGTATTTTAGCGACGACATTCGGTTGATAGACTGAAAAGCACTCTTGTGAATATCAAGCAACTATGGTGACATTGCAAAGAAGTGGTCAAAGTGCTTTCACCATCGAAAAGGTTTCAAGGGAACCTGCTTTCAGCCATGTTCAGATTAAAGGTTCCGATCCAAGTGGCTCGGAATCCGACGAGGAGACATCATTCACTAAAGGAGACAACAAGAAATGTTTTATCTTCGAAGAGGATCACCACAGGCTGGTTTCAAGGATAACGCAAGAGGAGCAAGGAAATCTCTTTGGGTTGTGGACAACCAACGACGAACCTGTTATTCACATTGTCTGTCCACCGATCTGTGCTATCAAGCCTCACTCGCACACAGTCACCGAAGACGACATCTTAAGCAAGCATTTACCTCTCTCACACATCGGTAACTGGAGATATAATGGGTTTCCATTTCTGAACCGTTGTTCTCATCAGTTTAAACCAAGAGCCACATTTCTGGATCTAACGGTCTCCAAGTCCAAGCTCTCAGTGTTTGAAGATGGTAAAAGGAGGCAAATTGAGGTTATCAACGGCAGAAGCCCGTTTACGAACGTGACAGGTTTCAAAACAATCGCCATTAAAGGTCAACAAGATGTCGATCCTGATCTCGCGCAGGGTATGGAGCACCTTTTAAGCACAAAAGCAATCTCTAATAAAAGAAAGGAACTTTTCACTTCTCCAAATTTTCAAGATCCGATTACAACAAGCAGTGCCAGCCAGGAAATCCCAATGTACCTAGGAGCGAAAGGATTTCAGCGTGAATTCGCACCTAACCTTCAGGACTTCAAGATCTTCATGTTTGAAGAAGACTATCAAATGATGCAAAACCTTGTTCTCAGGTACCCCCATCTGGAGACTGGAGGAGACCTGTTCGGTTTGTGGACCACTGAGGGAGACGCGGTACTCCATGTAGTGCTTGGTCCAGGCCAAAACTGCAAGCGAACTGGATTCTCCTTCTACCAAGATGTCCCTTATCTCAAGGAAAATGGTGAACTGCTTACTCAAGACTACATGTTATGCCACATTGGAGAATGGCATTCCCACCACCAGTTGCGCCTCTTTCAGCCAAGCGGAGGCGATTCGTTAACTGTTATCAGAAACTATCCTCGTGGAGTCTGCGGTTTTCTTTTGATTATTGCTAACATTCTGTCCTCTCACGAAGTGCGGCTGTCTCCTTATCTTTACACGAAGTCGTCCAGCTATGGTTTTGATAAAGCAGGCAGAATTGTTCGGCTCACGGGCCCCAATGCATTTAAGAGGATTCATAAAATCAGAGAAAAAGCAGAGAGAGGGAAAGAAAGGGATACATATATTCAAGGTGGCCAGTTCAACCGTAATTCAGAGTATGCGGCGGACTTCAGTGAATTCAGGGGTTATCCAATTCAAACTGTTACAAATCAAATTAAGCGCCTTCCCAGTGATCGCAGAAGGCACACACACCACTACGTGACTTCCAAACCATATGAGCTGCCAAAGCGTAAGGCCATGTTCTCCTCTCCATATGAACATTATTCCGTATCGGTGCCCCGCTCACGTGGTATTTCAGCAGGAAGAAATCGGCGCAAAAGCGCAAAGTCAGGCACCAGAATGGATCGACCTCCGTGGAAGTCGTAACTTTGTAAAGCGTACACGTAACCCAAAGGCGCCAGCTTTAAACTTAATAGTCACCTCATGATACTGATGATTATTAGCTGTGAATCGCGTTTAATGGATTTCTAAGTATATGAACACCACTTCAGTTTTTTTTTTACTTATATACGGTGCCGTTTACATGTTATTACATATCAGGCCTTAAGAGTTACCAAATGGTAGATAGTTCACTGTTAGTGCTCTTACATTCATTAACATGGTGCATTTCGCTTCTTATTTTATTTTCCTTTCGTGTATTAAAGTTACTTTGAATTGGACTTTTAAGTTCACAGTCTTTCCTAAACAACTGTACGAATTACTAAGTCTACATAGATGACTCGTTGTTTTCATAGTATGACGGTGTATTATATTGGTCTATATTGTAAAATATTTCACATTTTTGCTGTGTCTACTTTGTCCTGTACTCTCGTGGTGATATTGTGAGAAAAGTATTAATTAATTAGAATGGAGTGAGTGAGTGAGTGAGTGAGCGCCATCCGACTGTCCTCTAAGCTCATGGATGTTACATAACATCCATGAGCAAAAAGGAACATTGCTACCGAAAACAATAAGTGCAACACTGGACCATTGATGTCATTGCAAACGACATTACGAGATGTTAGTTCTCAGACCTTTCAGTTTGTATGTGTTTTATCGGGGCGCTTAGGCAATGTTCTTGCAGATAAACAAATATTTCCGCTGAAAACACCGAGTCTGCCTTTATTTATTACAGACAAAATAGATATCATGTCACAATATTGATTGGGCCACTTGAAAGGACTCAGAAAGAGATTATTGAAGTGACACGAATGTAAGAAAGTTCCAAGAAAACCGGACATGGCTGTCAACAGTCAACAATTATGGTGGATTTATAACAAAAATGTCTATCTCAAATATAGGTAATCAATTGACTAGATTAAAAATGAGTGTTAAGCGAATTTCTTTGAAAGAAATTGTTACAGATAGCGTGACCTCTTGCACTTGAAGGAGTTACAGAGAGAAATAGCACAACATGACGGGTGATTCGCTTCGCGTACAAGTATTTTCTCGACATATTTAGGTTTCTGGGAAAACGTAGTTGATGTTTATGAAAGGATTGAACACAAAAGTATTTATCCCTCCAAATCCCAGTGAGTTTTACAACATTAAGAAACTTCATTTTACAGAATCTCGATTTTCTTAAATCGGCAATCACGCTTTCCAGTCGCACTGTCAGGCGGACTGATTTCTACGGATAAAATAACTGAAAAGTATTAATAGTATGCAAACATGACCTGGGTACTCGAAAATAGAGTCACGACAACATTTCTGAGAAAAGCCGGAACATTTAAATGTCCCAATCGAAAACGATTTTCAATATTTGCATTCATATAATAATAAAGAAATTAGTCAAAAGGAAGGAAAACTTTGCCTTTGACAAACTCTGGAAGAAGGCTTGGTATTAAGAAAGGAGCTGTCGCAAATCATGATTAAAGTCGGCTGAAAGAAACCCTCAGGACTCGACGCTTGTCAAACGAGGCACGGTGACAGGCGATTCTAGGAAATTATAACACCAGCGGCGCATGATCTATTATTCTGATATCAACACGAAACGAAAGCTTAATTTCCATAAAAAATATTCGCTGCTTGTCGATGCTCCGACAACCCCAGAGCGAAAATGGATCGTGTCCGTAATGCGTTTGGCTTTGGACCACGATTTAAAGCCGTCTACATGTTTAAAGATGACCTTGACATGATGGAACGCTTGGTTCTTCTTCACCCAGTCAAAGAGACTGGTGGAAATCTGTTTGGGCTGTGGACTGACGACCAAGAACCTGTAGTACACATTGTGCTTGGGCCAGCCATTGGCTGCAAACGGACAGAAGTTTCCTTCTATCAGAGCATTCCATATCTAGAGCGTGTTGGTGGAATCGTGACACAGGAATACCAGCTTTGCCATATTGGAGAGTGGCATTCACACCATCGATTGAGTCTATCGGAGCCAAGTTCGGGTGATTCATCGACAGTGATTCACAATTTTCCCAGAGGAACATGTGCGTTTCTTCTCATCATTGCCAATATACTTCCAAATGGCAACGTTACCCTGTTACCATACTTTTACAGGGAAGGGCGGACTAGTTACGAAAAAGGAGAGATCAAGCCACTTCATGGCCAGAGTCCATTCCGCAACGTCGAGAAAATTTGGAGGAACATTCATCAAGATCAAGATATGAGTTCAACAGCCAACGAACAGCGGCCGAGAGAGGCTCATAGAAGAAATAGAGACGAAGGTGGTGGGCCTGCCGTTTACATGTTTGAAGAAGATAGGAAGATGATTGAAGGGTTGCTTTGCGAACGCAGCAGTGGGAAAATCAACGGCGAGGGAGAATTGCTCGGTTTGTGGACAACGCAAAGACAGCCGGTGCTGCACATCGTCCTCAAGCCAACAGAGAAGACCAAAGAGAAGGGAGGAGAGGGCTTGTCTAAGGAGTACCTTCCCTTGCAGAATATTGGAAGGTATGTTCTGTATGATCATCTCCTGGAAAATGCTAACGAGTCTACTCCGGGACAGGCTCCTAGTATCTCCGACGATTTTCCATATGGCGGCGTTTTGATAGCAGTTTACCCCAAGGCGAACGATGAAGTTGGTCTGACAGCCTATATCTACCACGGAGGTGAAGATACTGGCCGCCAGCCATGCCATGTAAGTTTCCTCCACGGACCAAAGACATTCCATGAAAAGCAAAAGACAGACAACAAGGTCGAAGAAAGTAAAACGGCAGAAGGAAGTGATCTGATCGAGTTCAACTCCTCCCCCCCAAGACACCACAGTCCGAACTTCACTCAACACATAACCTGATGGATCACGCCTCAGTCATCCTAATCTGAATACAATACAATGCAATACAATACAAGTTTTATTGTCCACTCCCCATGGGGGCTTTTCAGAGACAATGATAAAATACTGAAAAATTATTAACAAAATTACCTACATATAAGATTTATGACATTAAGAACTGATTTAAAAGGACAGCGCTTTCATTTTACGTTTAAAAATAGTAAGAGAGCCACTTAGTTGGACTAGTAAGATATATGCAAGGTTGCGACAATTTAATTCATATTTTTCTTTCCCAGTTTTTGTGTTCTATTTGCCCTCAAGGAAGCCAAAATGTTGACGAAACTAGAGAACATCTACTTTTGTGGCAGCAGTCACAAAGTCGGTCAATATGAAT